CAACATTGGGGTAATTGAGGGGAAATCAGGGAAGGATGATGGAAAGGTGACTTTCTTCGGTATGAGTTACCTTTAGCTGTATCTCAATCGCTAACGGCAGTTTCGTCCGAATTCGCCGACCCATCAGCTTCTTGGCGGGCAGCTCATGGCGACATCGGGGACCAATCTCATGACTCACCTTGACTTTAGTGTACTTTCGGATCTTAGTTCCAGGCCTAAGGATCCACAGGGCTAGACCATTTGTCTTCCCCATAGACGATGTACGCTGCCTTCTACTAGTAGTGAATATGTCGATATCCAATGGCTCAATTCCAATGCCGTATATTACACAATAGATCTATCCAAAAAACAAAAGGTCATCACTCATGACAATAATCAACCCTAATCATCACTGTCATCACCGACGAGTCGACTTGATTTCTGTGCATTGTGGCGCTCAGCGCTCCGAGTAAGAAGGGTATTGAGGTCAGGGGGATCGAAGTTGTCGTCCGAGTCATCATCCTTGTTAGTTTGGGACGAATAAAATGGCTGTTGTTTTCGGCCGTTCACAATAGAAGACAATAGTTGTTCTGGGGTCACTGGTGGGGGAGAGTTCTCAGGAGACAATGTCTGCCTATCTACCGATGCGGATAAATGGTTAGAACGAGGTTTGTTTTTTGATAGCGTTCTACGGCGCTCACGACGAGGCGACCGACTGGGGATCACCGAGTCGTCCTTGGTTGACTCCTGGGCAAGAATCTTCTTAAAGCGTTCTTCACAATCCGGGCCAACGCTATTCATCTTCTGTAATGTTCCAATCATACGACGTGTCAACGATCCGTGCTTCACGACCTTGGTAGGTCTTGCGACGAGCTGGAGGCGAGGAAACGCATCATTCCGCGGGTTGCGGATGAATTGTGGGCTAGTGGCCCCAATATTGCGATAGTGTTGCTCCAGCTCTCGTTGCTGTGCCGAGGTCAGTACAACTTCTTCAAGAGCCGGGATCTCCACCGGCTCCGGGGTCGGCATCCGAGGCTTCCTACTCTTCTCAGCTTTGGACTTGGGTCCTGCTGCCAGGGACGAAGCTTTAGTGAAGCCGGTTTCGACATTGTCAGGCATGTGAAACTTCTTGGGTGGCCTTTTTGGAGCTCGTCCGCGTCTCTTTGGCTCTGGTAAGCCCTGATCCGCATTTTCATCCGGAATATCAATATGGCGTTTATCTGCTACCGGCCGTATTCCTGCTGGCAGAATACGGGGGGAGATATCTTCGTGAAACGTAAAGCGGGACCCACTAGCAATCATCTGCTGCATCTTCTCATAGTTGTCCTTGGCTTTGATATACGACTCTTCCTCCTTACCCTCCATGAGGAGGAGGACAATGTTTCCAGCCCTCTTTCGTCCCGTACGTCCCATCCGTTGAAGCATCCGGATTGGCGATGCAGAAGAGTCATAACATACGATGAGGTCGACTTCTCCGATGTCTAACCCTTCCTCACCAATGGACGTTGCGACAATGGTATTGTACGTGCCCTTTTTGAAGTTCTGCACAATACTAAGTTGTGTCTTCTGGTCCATGCCCTCCGAGCCCTTCGCGCTGGATTGCCCAACGAAAACGTGAGGTCGGATCATGGGCTCATATCTTTTCAGCACCCTCGTCACCTCTTCGGCACTGTCCCGAAAGTGTACAAAAATCATAATTCTCGTGGATGACTGGCTGTCACCTGATTCCCCATTGGACCCTTCACCAGCATCCATAAAATGATTCAGAACCACCGATTTTAGATATTCCAGCTTTGGATGTCCGATAAACTCCGGATTTTTGGTCCACGGCTGAAGGTGATTCATAAGCTTTTTAAAGCTGTCATCCTGCACAACTTGGCGCTGGTATTTGCCACCTTTCTGGCCCTCGGTGTTGGACTGAAAGTGTAAGAGGTGACGATAGAAGGGCGTAATCCCGTGATACTTGAGAAGGTCAATGGCATGTGCCAAGCTTGCGAGAACGGTGAATATTGCGTTCACCTTGCCCTTGAGTCCGAAATGAGCGTTGCGACCGGCATCTGAGGCCATCCACTGCTGTCTCGACTTAGTGAGCCCAAAGGCCGTGAGCATCATCGGGTCTCTTCCCCAGTAGGCGTTGAGGGTGCGGAGCTGGTCGACAAGCGGTTGCAAAGTTTTAGATAGAAGATCCATGCAGAGAACCATCTCCTCAGAGTTCTTGAACGTCTGGACTTCGGTGTTCCTCGCATGAACGTACTCCCGGATGTCAAGAGATTGCTCCGTGCGTATCTCGACTCGGGCAATATCAAGTCCATCGATGACGGCTTGAACAGACTCCACCGTGGAGCCCGGCGTCGCCGTCAGAGCCAGGACACGGAAGCTCTGGTTATATCGGCGAAGAAACTTCACAACTTCTACGTAGGCATAACCACCTGTCGCGCGATGTGCTTCATCAACCACAAGCAGGACGATCCGTTTCGGGTCTGCTATGCCGGACTTGAGATCATTGATCAGCGTTTGCGGGGTCATAAAAAACACTCGCTTATTTTGCCATTCTTCCGCTCGAATACCTGGCGCGGCTTCGCCTGTGAGCATGGTTGTCTGGGATCGTGGAATTCCCGCTATACCAAAACAAGCGGAGATTTGCTGAGCTACAAGAGGTTTTGTGGGTGCCACGAAAATAATCTGGGCACTTTGGGTCCACCGAAACCAGTTAAGCATAATTGTCGCAGCGATAAATGTCTTTCCTAGACCTGTGGGGAGTGCTACAAGCAAGTTGTGAAATAACCCTTTTTGAGCGATATTGAATTGATAGTCTCTCGTTTTGCCAAGGTTCGTTGGATAGACCCAGGTGCTCAGAGTCTCTTGATCTAGCCTATGCTGCGTCGGAGCTTCGTCCTTTTCTGGTGGAGACAATACCTGCTCTCCAATGGGCGGTTGGGTTGTTTGGTTTCGGGAAGTCATGTCGAATAATGAGGTTTGGCGGATTCCAAGTGGGCGGTTTGAGGACTGCGAGAATTGTCTGGTCGCGGGTTGAGGTTGAGCTCTAGCTGGCGGAGACAAGGATAGATCCGAGTCGAACGCATCGTCGGGTATATCTTCGAGAAGGAAGGATGTATCTGTTGTGTCCTCTTTTTGTTCTGTAGAAGAGCGCGTACTCGGCTGAGGTGTCGGGGCTTTTGTATTTGAAGGGGGAGGCCGGGGTTGCTCGTTCTCGAAAGACACTAGCGATGCTGCAATAGCAGCATTTAGGTCCTCATCGTCAAAATCATCGCCGCTTGCAGCAGGCGCTTTCGGTGCAGCTCTTCCTCCCTCGCTCGTTTTTGCTGATATGGTGCTGGCTCGCGCGATGCTGGGCTCTGGCTTTTTCCAGCGGGGTCCACGAATCATTTCTGGTGGTGACGGCGGTTGGGTCAATTGGGTAACGAAGATATTCTCCTGGATGTTGCTGCGCTTGGGAATGAATACTTTGTACTTGGACGGGGCCTCCGTGTCTTCGAAGTACGAGTCTTGGCTGGGAGACTGGGGCTCATCATAATTGCCCTCATTGTCATCGACTACAAAGGAGTTAGAGTCGGTCCGAGGGCTACCATCATCGCGATATTGTTGCGATTTTCTATTCCCGGACGATTGCCGTCTCTTGGACGCGGTAGCATCATCCACACGGCGACGCTTGGCTGACCGCGGCGAGGGCCTGGCCGCGTTTTTCGCAGCATCGGAGAATCCATCGTCTGTTAAATCATCAAATCCCTCATGGAAGTAATCGACCGAGCTAGCATCCGAGCCCGTCATGTCGAGCAGGGAATTTTCAGTGGCGTGATATCCGGACTTGCGATTTCCACACTCGTCCTACTACTAATTCCGCGTTGGCTTCCGCGCGACGCGGTGTCGCGAAATCATGTGAATGATAACGATGTTTGCTGTGTTTGTATTGATAAAGCAATCAGCCCAATTAGAACGGGCACATGACCTGTCAGCCAACCATTCTTCAAAGAAGGCAAACATGTCGACTTAATTCAGTCATTGTAACACTACTTCGATAGTACTCTATCAGTACTTCAATTTACTAGTCGATAGTATCAATACAGCAGTAATTCGCGGTGGAAAGCCAAAGAATGAACTAGTCGATTGTAACCTCATGATTGCCACTGCCATGTCACTTGGACAACAATTCAAAGTCTGCGGCACTAAAAAGGCCCACAGCTCGTGTGGCCACCCAAAGAGTGGGACAACAGGACAACACCCGAGTCTAAGGGGCACCCTAGGAGCTATTTTTGGCCGACAATGGATCCCCCCAGATTTTCACTCTTCAGAGACCCTTCCACTAAGACCCAACGTGCGAGGATAACATTCAGTTAGGGCCAACCGTCATCTGACTGATCACAAACACCAATCCCAATGGTGCAGCAGGAGAGAAGCTCACTGTAACCCTTCAAGTTCTCCCTTACAGCAACCCCCAACGAATAATGGCAGGCAAAGTGGTGGATGAAACCACCAGTAACTTTCGAGACTAGACCAAAATTGTCGGTTTTTCGATCTGGTCGGCCTATAAACTTGGAACTGTCGGCCGGCTATCTCCAGGGTCGCTCGATTTGACTGGTCCGTCAGGGCCGTAGCCGAAGCTGTCGTGAAACCCAACGAATCAGATCATTCCATTGACGAGAAAAAGAGTATCCGAGTTTCAATCATACGGCAACAACCCTGATACTAAATTACTTCTTCTTGGGGTTTGTCCCCTGTTGTTTTGCAAAAATAAAAAAGAAAATGGAAATTGAAAGAAAAGTAAAATTCACCCCAAACCAAGGAAGAGTAAAAATAAAAATAAAAAACTGGGCAGTCCCCCCGCTTTAGGTAGCTTTAATTAAATCCCCGTCTTTCTCCTCTGCTTTCTTTCTCTTCCTCCCTTTTCTCTCCACAGTCCTTCGTTAACTACGTACTATCTGCTTGTCGCATTTGTATACACTCGTTAATTCCTTCGAGTTTGATTATCACTTCAGCGTCTTTGTCATTTTCAATTCCTCAAGATGAAGCTCAACCTCATTGCTCTGGCTTCCTTGGTCGCCCTGACCGCGGCTCAGTCGACCGATTCTACCTCTGAGGCTGCCACCGGCACCACTGCTGCTCCTACGACGACTGTCAGCTTGACTCCTCAACAGTCCTGCGCTAAGAAGTGTAAGTTGCCATATTTCCTTGCCCTGCTTGCTCTCTCTTGTCCCTCTCCCTGATCACGAAATGCACCGCGAAACTAACCAAGACCAGGCGACCAAACCGATCTGTGCTGCATCGCAGGATGCTTCCAGGTCCCTTGCCCCAACGACTCTCAGGCTAACGACACCAACACTTGCGTCGCCGCCTGCCCCCAGGGCAGTGGCACCCCGCTGACACTGACCGCTACGCCGCCTGCCAGAGCTCCTGCTACAGCAGCCACTTCTTCCCCATCACTGCCACGGGTAACTCTGGAGCTTCCAAGACCGACGCCAGCGACTCTTCTGCCACCACCACTGGCAAGGGCAGCTCTTCCACCGATTCCAGCGGTATGTGACTTGAACCACGGCGTTACTGTGGTCTGGATGCAGTTCAACTAACATTCAATCGCACAGAATCCTCCGGCTCCCGCTCTTCGGGCTCTAAGGCTAGTGGCACTGGTACCAGCACTGGAACTGCTGCCACCAGCTCCGAGACCAATGCTGCCTCTGTCGCCAAGATTCAGCTTGGTGTCTCTGCCGCCGGTATTGCTGGTGTCGCCTTCGGTATCTGGGCTCTGTAAATGAGCTCAGGTCCTTGATTCGGTGATCTCACGCAGGATTGTTAATGGGAGAATGTGAACGGATGGAAAGGTATTAATCAGTATGGGGATGTCGCATAATAGGTTTATCTACATAGTTGTACTTCTGCGCTGTAATATTGATTCCCAAGCACTTTGTCGTTAATTGTATCGGTATTAGCTAATACAACTGCTATCCCAACAATCCTGTCAATTGAGAACAATTACAATTCTGCGACCACTTCGTAGACAAGAAAACAGCCCAAATCCGACAATTTGTGACAAACTACAAAAGGGGTGACGTGAAGTAAGGGAAGTAGGGCTGTGCGCTACCCCTTTATCTGGAGTTAAAGTTCATCTCCAGTCAGAAAGGACGATGATCTACAGAAGATCTAGGCCATACAAAATACAAAGGGTAAAGAAGTTAGACGATGCAGGGTGAGCTCCATCCACGATATGACGTGCTGATCAACATAGTCAAATCGCAAGTACCGACTATGCAAAGATCGTCTCTCCACACCCCCACACCCTTATTCACAGTACATACTACATACACAGTAAGTATACCTATCACATTTGCAAGATTCTTTCCATCCATCCATCCCCTATTCAAGCACGCAGTATTAGTACCCCTAACACAACTCCCCAGTGTAACCAGTTCAATTCGAAACCCCGCTGGAAACAAACTCCGCCAGCTTCCCAGCAACCTCCGCAATGAACTCCTTATTCTGCATGCCGTCGACCCATTCCGTCGGTATCGATTCAAATCCATAAAAGGCGCCCGCCAGACCCCGTAAACTGCCGCCGCCGTGTCGGCGTCGCCCCCTAGGTTTGCCACCGCCAGTGCGCCCGCAGCCCAGCTATCAAACTTGAAAAATCCCCACAGGGCCACTTCGAGCGTGTCCACGACCCATCCGCTGCTGTGCATGTCCGGGGCCGATTTGGCTTGCCAGTCGGAAATTGTCTTGTAGCGCGAGAGTCGCTGTGTAAGGGCATCGTGAGTGAACTTGTACCCTTTGATTCTATCGCAAAGCTGCTCTTTGCTCTCGCCTGGTATCGGTCAGCACAGTCAGCAAAGCTTCCCCCTGAGAAACAAAAAAGTAAAATAAAATAAGATTAAATTAAAAAAATAAAGAAACCACACCAGCCCCAAACGCAAAATCACAAACAACCATGGAACACAAGCCCCCAGAACAGCCCCAAAACAGAAAAGAAACCGAAAGAAACCGAAAAAGAAAAAGACAAAACGTACCACGCAAAACCCCACAAATCAAAAGCGTCTGTACCTCACACGCCTCCAAACACGCCAGCGCAGGATGCGTAACCCGACTCTGCTCTCTAGCTACTCTTGTCGCTTCCCCCTGATCGCGCCACAGAGCCAGTCCAATGGGGGCGATTCTCATCAAGCTTCCGTTCCCTGAGGATTGCTCCACATCCAGCTTTCGATTGACTACGTCCTGGGTACGTTGGAGATCCTCCGTGCCCCGTTTCCGCCAGCTCTGGAGGGCAGAGCGCGTCGAGCGACCCACGTCCCAGGCGTGGTTGATCGTGCTGAATCGGCCGGCGGAGAACCAGTCTACGAAATACTGGATGGACAAGGCGTGGTTGTATTTGCCTTGGGAATCGATGATGGACTGCGCTAGGGCTAGAGTCATGGAGCCGTCGTCGGAGTAGGATCTATTTCCTTTTTCAGTATCGGGTGTTTGGGGCTTGTAACTCAGGATGGGGTGATTAGTTACCCTGCGGGCTGGCTAAACGGTTTCACGTATTCGAGGCCGGTGATGGGCTCGAAGCTGCCTGGGTCCATGAATTGGACGGGCCCGCCTAGGCGTCGCCGACGCAGACTCCCCATATCGAGCCTAAGGTGCGGGAGGTTGGGATGGTGGCATTGTGGTTCTTTGGATGGAGGTTACTTATGAAATGGTAGGAGTGATCTGGTGCGTTAAAATAGCGAAAATATGGTAAGTTTTATATTCTATACTTGAAGTCGGAGTCAGCCTTGTCACTGCCCCATTGTCATGCTGCGTAGTGTCGGTGACTCAGCAGCCCTGTAGATCATGACGCAAATACGAGATTGATGGGCTTATGTGTCACGGCAATTTACCTGCACAGATGAGTTGATGGATGCTGTGGAACGAAGTTGTGATATCTTGTAATAAATATTTAAGAATGTTATCACATGACTATTCAAGATATATATCTCAAAGGTCCTAACTTCAAATAAGCTCAATATTTACATATAACTGACCTCTATTGCTTGGATCACTGCGGTTCGATTTATCTCTATGTATCATTTCTCTTTAAAATCGAATTATATCGACCTTTATATCATTAACAATGGCTTGCGTCTTCGCTCATCAACCCAATAACATCCCACAGGAATTGGAAATATAACTTAACCACCCCTTTCATTATCTAGTTTAAGTTACCAGTCAGATTCAACAGCAAGGATACCTTTATCCCCCACAGCCTCCTTCCATAGAGTCGCAACATCACCCGGAACCTCCCACCTTGCCTCCCGCATGAGTGTCACGTAACACCGGGTCATGTCCAATTCGCGTGGTTGATAATTGAAAGTGTCGGGTCTCTCTCCAGGCATCAAGTATTCGAATAAAATTGCATGTTCATCCATGTAACTCCACCCAATTGAGAAGGAGAAAGTCCGCAGTCGAGGCATGCGGAGTATCGCAGTAGCCATGGTCTGCATGAGAGGATCGAACATCTGTGGATCAGGTTGCGTCCTCCACATATGGCAGGGGCTTCGACCATTCAGAAGCGCCTCTCTGCGTCTGGGTAGGTAGTCCTGGAACTCCGAATTGAGGGAAGAGTTGGTGTCGGAGTCGGTTCCATCCTCATCATCAGACCGAGTGGATTCATAGCCCGCTTCGACATCTGCAGGGTTGCCATTATAATACCATCGGCCATCATATGTGATGAGTGCTCCTTGGATCTGCACTTTTTTCAGATATGGGAATGTTTTGTCGGTGTTGAAGAGCGCAGGCGAGACCAGCCACCATCCTGTGAGATTCAGGGTTGTTAGATGGGTATCTTCGGCCAATTTCCGAATGGTGATGTTTAAGATATCTCCATCTGGAAATTGAGGGTCGGTAGGCTGGTTCTTGAAGCTGTGGTTGTATGGGATGTCTTGCTCGATGTAGATATCCAATGTGCGCAAGCTACTTAGCGAGGCTGACTTCAGTGCACCTGCAAGGGCTTTTGATCGTCAGTAAGGTACCAGTTTAGTAGACAAGATATCTTACACGCTCGATGTTCACTCTGCATTTCCACACGTTTAGCCTTGGGTGCATTTAACTCCATTGCCAACCGTTCCAGATTGGGTAACGACGAGATAATCTTCCCAATAGCCGAGGGATGCAGCGAGCGTCGTGCATTAGGGATCTTCAATCCTTCAACAAACGGCAACTGGGGCAGAGAAGCCTCACTGTCCAAAGTAAGGTAGTTATCTTCAAAGCTCCATCGCTCGTCAGACAACCCACGGTCAAGCTCTGATGATCGCCAATGACGGTCCATAGGCGAGGACGCAGTAAGTGCCAAGTCCACACCCTGTGTCTTCCACGAGGACATCTCATCAAATAAGTCCATGACACCTCGATTGAAAGCTTCATTATTGGCTTTGCTCTCCCTCCTTCTTTCAAGACACCATATACGGTTCGTGCTGTAGGTGGGCAGATCGATTTCATATTCTAGCTTGCGCAGCAACTTTCTCCGTCGCGGAGTGGAGAATACTTGCCGGAACATGTCCAAATCGGAGCTGTATTTCTTGATATCTGCCATTGTGAAACGTTCCACGGCGTATTGCCATTTGCGCGAGATCGTCGCGTACTGGCCAACCTTCGGAGCCGGTTGGGGCGGATGTTTGATAGGAGGGACTTCGAGGAGATGAGTAATGATTAATTGCAAAATTTCCTGGCTAAGATAGTCCATTTTCAGGATGGGGAAATGTTGGGATATGGTTGACAAGAAAGCTGGTCGGTTATTTGGGGCCGGGGATAATCATTAGTTGAAAATGTACATATAGCGTGAGAGGGCTATCTAAATACTCACTCATTGAAAAGGCCGTTGGAGGCTAGACTTCCGGGCGGTCAAGCCTGCAATTTTATGATTCCCCACTATAGGCTCCCAGCTAAGATAACGGTGGCACCGCTACCTAGATATGGACCTACTTAGGGCAAGTTTAACAACAAGTAAAGACCCCAAGCGAAGGTAAGGTACAGCTATATGAAACTAGATACAATATACTAGAAGCCGTGATTCGGGGGGTTTGTAGACTTAACAGCCCGATTCTGTATAGGCTCTGTAACAAATGTCGTTAAGTTAAGCAACGTCGATTAGAATGTTTTCCTTCTTATAATGTGCATAAATTTGGCAATTAGTCTGGGCATACAATAGACATCAGGCATGGTCATATATAGATTCCACGCAAGGCCCAAGTTGAACCTCATGTGTACTTGATTTGCTACACATCTTCAAGGCTTTCCCTTTACTACTCGCCGCTTTTTGCTCAGCAATGAAATCAAACATGACCCTATCATGTGATAGTAGATAACCTAGCAAGCATACTATGGAGTACGACTAATATGTTACATAGTGTCTCAACAAGGGCTGATTCTCCCTTTCTGCCATTGCCGTCCTCTTCCGTCTTAGCACAACCAAGAACAAGACCCCTTGCACAACCGCAAAGACCAGATTATCAATGGCCACCCAGCCAACAAGCTGGTACCAGCTAATGAAAGAGCCCCATGTCTGAAAGAAATCAGACAGATTATAATCTAGTCGCACACGGAAAACCCAGCTCAAAGCCAGCACCGCGAATATCACGGCTTGGCTTGCTAAACCCGTGAGACTTAACACTGCATGTCCGTGCCGCTTCAGTTCTCGAAGTTGGGGCGGTAATGCTGCGATAGCAAGCAGAGTCACGACAGGATTCACAAAGATCATGTGTGAACCTAGAAATATCGCATCTAGCAAGCATTCGCTTCCACGGCTCGCTCCACAGGGATTTGTAAGGATATAAAGAACTGCGGCTAAGGCAGAGATAGAGAGGAATGCGATATATATTCCTGTACTGAAAATTTTGCGACCAAGGCGAGCTGGAGAGTAGAATACACCCAAGAAGCATCTTACAAGATTAGCATCTGTTACTTTGCAACTTGGCATTTCCTTACAATGTAGATGATAGCCCCCAGGTCACGGCTAACTGGAGGAAATTTAACCAATCCCCTGCATTTGGCGGGTTATAGATAAAGAAGGAAGAGTCATGTGCTATAAAGAGATAAGAGATGGAAATGGTGAATTGCTCGGTTGTGTTTATCACATTGTAAAGTATGTAGGCGAGGGGTATCCCCATCGAGTTCCCATTTTTGCGAAAGCGACAGATTTGGGGCACGAAGGAGAAAATAGAAAGGATTAGCAGGAGGCTGAACTGATTAGGTACTAGTTTGATAACAATCAGGAAGTGTAACTTACACGCGAATCTAGTTTGGAACCGTTGAATTCATGGTCTTACAAGTAGAGATGAGATATATTCTAAGGGAAAAGAAACAAAAAGACAAGAAGAAATTAGAAGAGATGGAATTGGTTGTAAGTATTATAGAGCCCCCTGCAATACTAGGACCTAGTGGACTCCACCAGAAACATCCTATTGGAGGGTATCTATCTTTTAATTTCACAATCTCAAGGTAGCATTCGATGCCGGAGTATGCATGCGGCTGGTCACACTATAGTGAACACGACAACATTGCTCGCTGGTACCACGATAACCGGTCGCCCCTCATTATCCCTGGGCTCGATGACTTCAGCTCCGACCCAGCATGGTAGCTTCACTGTGGTCCGCAACTGATCTTCCTTCGTACCCCAGGTCCACCAGTCAATTACTCTGTCGGTGAACTCGTACTTAAAGACTTCTCCTACCTTGGTATCAGAAGGAAGTTCCAGGCTATCCATCCGAGTCCATGAATCTCCGGGCTGAAGGCTAATAAAGTCGGCATGCTGACCGGGAGAAACTTCAATATCTGGATCGTCGTATATCTGGTATGGAATCTCCTCGGACTCGAAGTATTCCCATTCCTGGCCACGCTGCCGCTGAAGGTTGCCCTCCAGTAAGTTGAAGACATGGAAAGTAATTGGGGTTAAGTCCCCTGGGCCCTTAGATGAAGAATGATAGATGACATGGACTTTCGCATTTTTGTCCTGATCCTTAGTAAAGGTTGGAGGGCATTCGATATTCACGCTGAGAATCGGAGCTCCTGGACTAGGTCCGTGGCATGCACTATCAGCCTCTGAACAAGAAAAATAGGAGGATTCGTGGGGGGTAGTGTACCTACACTCTGGATAATGGTTCCCTGGGCGACAAAGGCTCGGGAGATGGGATAATTCGTTCCCCTTCCTCAACCGTAAACGAGATATGACAGCCCGGAATAAATAGACATGGTTCTCGTCTTCTCAATTCCGTACCCAGGTGACCTTGAATATTTCCCCAGTCCCAGAGAAATGACTCTCCCCCAGGCCAGAGTAGCTCATATCTCTCACCTGGTCTGAGTGCATCACGATACTGTACGCCTAGTTCCGATAAATAACGAGAACTCCCGTTTGGCTCAAGTTCAAACAGCCCCTGACCCAGTCTAGCTATAGGAAGCACGTCAGGGGCTTCCCACAACCCCTTGCCCACCTCAACTCTTTCCAGGCCATCGGAGGTGTGGCGGAGTAGGACGAACTGAGCAGCGGGTACAGCCGGGGCATAAGGAGACCAGTAGAAGATACATGGGCGAGTGTCGGTATCATCTTGGCGCAGGACCACTTCAATTCCAAAAGGCGACTCCAAGTACAAGGTTTCCGGGGCTTTCAACTCTAGCGAAACCGCCGGTGTACTAGACCTGTCGCGCCGGGTTTATTAGCTGTTATTCGCTTAGGCAGATAGATTCTCTCTAACCCTTGACTCTGTTCTGCTAGTCGCAGATAAGGTCCGAAATCGAGACCCATGCTTTTTCACTTGAAGTACTATGATGCGCTGGAGGTGGGAAATTAGACTCCTTTTATGCTTAGCAATAAGTTGAAGTATGGCGCCCACGTTGCAACGATAGCAATCTGTTCATATATAGCCCAGAATGAGTGAGAGGGATTACATTACCATGGGTGTTCTACGGGGCTGCGACGTGTGTCTAAACCACGTCTGATTCGAGAACTTGGACAGGGATTCTCGGTGTCGTTTAGTAGTCGCCGATCCACCAACACCTCCATCAAAGTGTTCGAGTCGAAAGAGACTCATTCCCCGCAGATCAATGCAAGAGGCGCCTTCATATTCTCGATTTCCACCGGAAAAGATGGCTTCTCTCGATTTATTCCTATTGCCATATTGTTTTCATGATAGGCAACCTCATTCGCATCATTTCCTCTTAGCATCTCAGTACCGACGATATCAGTGTGATAATCAAGCAAGCAAGCAATCTCACTATTATCCTCTAAACTAGTACTATCCAATTCTTTCTGCTTAAAGTTTATAGAGGCATTTCTGCTAATTCAATAGGTTTGAGATTCAACACTATTGCGGCAGAGATCCAAACTGTGCGACAACCGGGAAATCCCTGGCAGAATCCGTCGTAGTTCGTGGTCGAAGACGTCTGATAGATGTTCAGAATTTATCAGTATGCATTTTGAGTATATAAGGATGAAACACGGTGGAAGGATTGGCCATGTTTGAAGGTACACAGACTAAGATGATCCATGATGCATATTTCATCCTTCACCGAGTCCGTACGTATTATATCACTGAGTCACCTTCTCATCATACAAAGACTACATGTTGCAGATCAAAGCGGAAGCTATGATATTAACCTGCCTGCTTTCAAAGCTGGACAAACGGCAGGTGAAGTGGCTATACTTGAGGGTAAGAGAGGCCGGATTTGGTCAGAGTAGCAGGAAGATCTCCAACATATGACGTATCGTCTGACTTGTACAGCAGTTGGGCATCACAGCCCTGTAGCAACTCGTCTTTCATGTAGCTTGGGCGGGGTCTTAACCTTGAGCTGGAGAAAGATAGAAACAGCTGCTGTAGCCAAGAGCAATCATATAAAGTGGACGAGGCGCAGCATGAGATACATTGCGGAGCACTGCAGACGTGATGGTATAATGAAGCGCATCGCCCAGTAGGAGAGATATAAGAAGAGGTTGGCACTAAACAACTCGTCAGTATGTCACTTGGCGCGCATAGATGTATTGTGTACGAGCCATTATATCAAACCAATAATGTCCACTACTCTTACCATGGTCCATGTGACGATCTAGTCGAACCAGACGATAGCTAACCTAGTCTCCTCTGTGTGGGGCCTCATTGACAGAGCCCATTTCTTGCTATGTTGGATCGATTTTGCTTCTCAATCTAGGACAGTTATACTGAGGCAAATTCTAGGGGAAGGATGATTGTGATCAGATTAGCAATTGCTGGCTCCACAATTTATCTTGAAAAAGCACAAGCGACCAAATACAGTTCCTTTCATGAAATAACTTATCTTGATTGAAAATCAAAATATGGACGTCCATTGTTAAGGCCTATGAGTTGTTTGATGTGACGCGGATGATGTTGAAAATAAGGTTATCGGTGATGAAGCCAAGCGAGGCAGTGCTTTTCACCCAAACTTTTCACCCCGAGCTATACAACGGTCCAGATCACAGGATTCCACTCCACAGGATGATAGAGCATGGCCTGACCATGGGCTGATTTGCTGTACAGCTTACTCGGATGTCTATAGCTTTCATATCTTACCTTGTGTTATCTCTGATTGGCTGGAAAACGGTGGATAGCTTTGACGTCAAGATATCTACTTCAGATGTGTGATTTGTTCACTGTTTAATATCGCTCATTTATGGCAAAGTCTACCCTAGCTGGGAAAGCTACCTGGGTAGCTGATTCGTGACCATGGAAAGCCTTCTATATAGTACTGCAGTGGATCAAGGGCTTTCCCAACCCCCACAATGAGCAGTGAGCTCTGAGGCAGGTCCTCTCGTGTCTACGTCCATGTTCCAAGAATCATCGATTTAGTCTGAGGAAGCCATGTCATTATTTGCCATGGATATTTCCTTTGACTTTCTTGGCTCTGTGGTCTACTGCATAACACAGCCACGATCAACTCAGTGAAGATGATCGTACAGCGCTTCAGATGGTATGCCATAATACTGGCGATACTCCCAGTTCAAGGTTGGCATGGGTATAAATAATTACTGATACAATGAATATTCATCATGGCCACCGTGACTGACCAGAGTTTCGATGCCAATTTTAATGTGATGTTTACGCACAGCACTGACAACATCTCGTCAACCAGTCTTCAGTACGACGATGTCCCTCTGTCCGAAGCTTTGGCCCCTGATCCGCAATATGAACGTGACTTTGAAGTCGTTGACAACAAGTTTGCATTCTCACCCGGACAGCTGAACAAGTTGCTGAATCCCAAATCCCTCGCCGCCTTCCATGCTTTAGGCGGCCTTAGGGGTCTAGAAATTGGGCTTCAAACTGACCTTGCGGCCGGACTTTCTGTGGACGAAGACAGGATTTCGGAATACGTAACATTCGACGAGGCCACAAAGTCTACCTTCTCCAAGCTAGATAGCCAGCCGCGACTATTGAATGCCGATAGCCAGACGCCTATTGTGCAAAGTTCCTCGTCCCAGTTCTTCGACAGAATCCGGATCTTTGGCCGCAATGCATTGCCTGAACCCAGAAGGAAACATTTTCTCAAGCTACTCTGGGATGCATATAATGATAGGATCATTATCCTGTTAACTATTGCGGCTGTTATATCATTGTCGCTGGGTATATACGAAGCAGCTAGCGGACAGTCTCAGGTCGATTGGATTGAAGGTGTGGCCGTATGTGTCGCTATTATAATAGTGGTGGCTGCCACAGCCGGCAATGACTGGCAGAAGGAGAGACAGTTTGCAAAATTGAACAGACGGGTAAGTTGGTATTTCCCTTGTATGTAATATTTGAATTGACCCCATCTAGAAAATTGAGCGCGATATTGCAGCGATCCGCTCGGGGCGGCCACTTATGGTACACATCTCCGACATCACAGTCGGCGACGTCCTGCACATTGAACCTGGTGATTCCCCACCTGCCGACGGGGTCATTATCTCCGGCCACGGTATCAAATGCGACGAGTCGTCAGCGACAGGTGAATCTGACCACATGGACAAGGCCAGTGGTCATGAAGTATGGAACAGTATCGTCAACGGAACTGCCACCAGGGAACTAGACCCCTTCATCATTTCCGGAAGTAAGGTGCTTGAGGGGATGGGGACGTACTTGGTGACTAGCGTGGGCAGCTATTCCACTAATGGCAGGATTATGGCATCCCTGCAGACAGAAAGTGAACCGACACCCCTTCAGGTCAAGCTGGCTAGATTGGCCGGGTGGATAGGATGGCTTGGGACAAGGTATGAGAATCCCACTTAAGATCAAGACCGCCTACTAATAGAAACACATAGCGCTGCTTTGCTTCTTTTTTTCGTCCTTTTGATCCGGTTCCTAGCGCAACTACCTGATAACGATGCTTCGCCAAATGTGAAAGGCCAGCAATTCATGGATATCCTTATCGTCGCTGTTACAGTCATCGTGGTTGCCATACCTGGTAAGTCGTCTATATATAGTAGGCCATATCTTGCGCTATGCCACTAATGACCTTCAAGAGGGTTTGCCCTTGGCCGTGACGCTTGCCTTGGCTTTCGCCACCACTCGTATGCTCAAAGAGAACAACCTTGTCCGAGTTTTGCGTGCGTGTGAGACTATGGGCAATGCTACCGTGATATGCTCTGATAAGACTGGAACGCTTACCCAGAACAAGATGACCGTGGTCATGGGATTCTTCGGTGCCAATGAGCGTTTTGATCAGCAGCCAACTGAGAGTGGCTATCCATCGTCATCTCCTACAATACTGGAGACTCTAGGATTATTTCCGAGTATTTTCAAAAAGCTGCTGATTGATAGTATCGCCCTGAACTCAACAGCCTTCGAAGAGGAGCAAGACGGCGGGCGTGAATTTGTTGGGAGCAAGACAGAAATTGCTCTTCTTCAGCTTGCAAAAGACTATTTACACATGACGGATCTCACTGAGGAGCGAGCGAATGCCCAGATTGAACATATATTTCCCTTCGATTCTGGTCGCAAAGCAATGGGGGTTGTCTATCGTGCTGGACCAACTGGATATCGATTACTTGTTAAGGGGGCGTCTGAGGTCATACTTAACACATCAACTCGGACAGTAACTACGGGCCAGTCTTTCGAAAACCAGATAGTGACCGAACCCATCTCTGATGGCACTCGCCAATCCATCTTGAATACCATTGATGACTATGCAAAGAAATCCCTACGCACAATTGGGATCGTCTACACTGACCTCGTAGACTGGCCTATCAGTCTCGATACGGATGGCGAAAAGGGCTTGCCCGACCTTGAGCTATTGCTTCGAGACATGACATGGATCGGGGCGTTTGGAATCCATGATCCGTTAAGACCCGAAGTCCCTGGAGCAATCAAAACGTGCCATTCAGCAGGCGTCCAAGTCAAAATGGTCACAGGTCAGTTCTTCTCCCTCATCTGAACTCTAGTGACCTAACAATGGTTACACTATAGGTGATAATATTAATACAGCTTCAGCCATTGCCACCTCCTGTGGAATCAAGAATGGTGACGGCATTGTTATGGAGGGCCCGGAGTTCCGAAAATTAACAGAAAAGGAGATGGATGCCATTATTCCACGGCTGCAGGTGTTAGCTCGCTCGTCACCTGATGACAAACGTATGCTCGTCAAGCATCTAAAACGTCTTGGTGAGACGGTCGCGGTAACAGGCGATGGGACAAATGATGGACCTGCTTTGACGTCCGCCGATGTAGGATTTTCAATGGGCATCAGCGGGACAGAATTAGCGCGTGAGGCGAGTTCTATCATCCTTTTGGATGATAATTTCAAGTCTATCGTGACAGCTATGGCATGGGGTCGGGCTGTCAACGATGCTGTCTCTAAGTTCTTGCAGGTAGGCCATAGTCTTCGCGCTCTGCATTCTCCTTCTCTAGCCCTTCTCTTCCCTCCCCCTTATTCTAACAATCATACAGTTCCAAATAACTGTCAATATCACTGCTGTTCTCCTCACGCTGGTAACAGCAATCTACAGCAACTCCAATGAAAGTGTGCTAAAGGCTGTCCAGCTACTGTGGGTTAACCTGATCATGGACACCTTCGCTGCTTTAGCGCTGTAAGTGATTCCTTCTATCCCAGATCCCAACATTAGAAGACACCCGGTTGGGCCTGGACGCCGAGCTCGCGTTCCTAACACAATCCAGAGCAACCGATGCCCCAACAGAGAAAATACTCCAACGGCCTCCGGTCCCAAGAAATGCTCCCTTGTTCACGGTAACGATGTGGAAGATGATAATCGGGCAATCTATATATAAACTGGCCGTATGTTTCACACTATACTTCGCGGGTGATCGTATCCTGGGTTACGACACCCGCATCCATCAAAAGCAAGTAGAGCTCGACACAATAATCTTCAACACTTTCGTTTGGATGCAGATATTTAATGAACTCAACAACCGCCGCCTAGACAACAAGTTCAATATATTCGAAGGTATCCACCGGAATTACTGGTTCATGGGAATCAATGTGCTGATGGTTGGTGGGCAAATCCTCATCATCTTCGTTGGAGGTGCTGCCTTCAGCGTCACTCCGTTGGATGGCGTTCAATGGGCTATATGCATTGGCTGCTCAATCGTTTGTATACCGTGGGCTGCTGTTCTGAAGCTCCTTCCGGACCGCTACGTCGCGGTTGTGCTGGATATTTCAGTGAAGTTGATAGCTTTTCTGGTTTATCCTTTCAGGAAGGTGTACCAGCTTATTGCTCGTGGTTTTACCATATTGGGGAAGGCCGTTCGTACACAATGGCAACGTCTTGAGTCCAGATTAATGCGCATGGTGAAGAAGAGCAGATCCGATGTCGATGAAGAAAAAGGTGGAAGTACCGGACTAGCGTGACTGCAGTCAATCTCAGCTTTAGAACTGACAGCAGTCTACAATTCTATTTCTTGACAGTATCAACTATGCAGAGTCAATACTACCTGCAATTATAGTTAGGATCATATTTAGTCACTATTATGACAGACAAAGTGGTGTATTCATAAATTCAAATCGACACTATCTCATCGTACCTTCGCGGTAGATATCGGGTTAAATTTCACCAATAACTTAGATAGTTGCCGGCCTTGTTGATAGCACAGGAGATCCTCAAATGACAATCAATTCACGTCGGACGGACTCTGATGCCCATCTCGTGATCGACATATCCCAAGCCTTCGGGATCGGGAGCAAGGAGTTTTGCCTCAGCTTCTTTCCCTTCCTTGCTACGTTTGCCCTTGCCCCAGCCCGCTGCAGACTTGAAAGGCTTCCCAAACCACTGAAGAGCCGCACCCGCAGGCGCCGATGTCGCTGGGTTATCTGCGATCACTGCATACACAGCGAGGAGGCAGGCACATAGACCCAAGAGTGCGGTCAAAACCCTGGAGTTGTTAGATTCGTGGAAAGAAAATGAGAGGCAAACGCAAAAAGTATGCTCACGCTAAGGCAATCTCGAATCTCCAAAGAGTGACTAGTGAATCACATGGACGATTTCTAAAACGCCCACCGAATTTCTTTTTGCCCGATTGAACCGGCAGTACCTCGAACATTGTGGGTGTTCCCTCTGGGATACCAGTGGGGTCTCGCCACTCGTTATCATTTTCGCATGATCCGAGAGGCAGCGGCATATATCGCGATTGAAGGACGGCAGAAGCGACGAGACCCGCAGCAAGACCGAAGCGAGTAACGACACAAGTGAACCACCATAGTCCACTATGTGGTATGAAGATAGACAGGAGGAACACTGCCAGACCGATACATGTCTAGACTTCCGGTTAGTGGCTTTTGCGCGATCCGAACAAGATGATATACTGTTATTAACGGCCCGTCTGTACCGGGCTTGATATAGGGGCTATATGGAGGCTCGAAAAGCTCCGGGTGTTGATAGACTCTATGGTAATAGGCACCGGACATACAAGCCAGCACGATAAACAGCAGGAGAAATACACAGGGCATATATTTCTCGAGCCAAAGAGTGGCCCGAATCCCTAGAGGTTTGTCCGCAGGTGCAGTGGACATGGTCTGCGAATGACAATATACGTGAAAATGCGAAGCATTTGATACTAGAGCAGGTGCAGGCAAGAAAAACGTGTTCGCGCCGCGCCTTCACTCACGATCGTTTTATGAGCCATGCCACTTTTCCACTCCTGCGCAATTGTGCCCAAAGCGATCTGCAGTTTGTGCGGCGCAGTTAAATACGATGTTGGGGCTTGAGCGTAACCTAATTCAATGTAGTAGAGATCAACACACTACATTTGTATCATTTTAGTCCAACTAAGTGGGCTAATACGAGCTGATAGACGGAAGGTGCCTCGAAACTGTGGTTACAATCCTTGGCAGCCCCTTGTTCGCTTAGCAGAAGATCATAACCTAGAATGGACTACAGGTGTCCGAGAAATCTACTCCTACAACTACATAATTAACAGCATACGGAGTAGCCCTAAATTGACTCAAGGACCAATATTGAACTGGACTTCGCCGTATTTTGTCTTGACATACTCGTTGCTAAAGAAAAGAAGATAAAGAATAAAGATATATAAGAGGTATCAACCTCGCTGTCAAGCATAGCGAAGAGTTACCTAACTTAACAAGACTTCAATAAATACTACTATTGGAGAGGAAACAGCTGGTACTATTCCTGCAAGCACAGCGATAGTAGTAACCTTCAAAATAGAATCGATTATCTTAACAGCAGCATAGGAGACGTATCCAACGAGATCCCTGGTAGCTGTGGTCGTATCAGTTACTCATACAATATAGCTATCTAGCGTTACTAATTATTTTCTAGTATAAAATTCCGAGACACAGTATCTCCAGTCCTATACAACTATCGCTTCTGCCGCTGAGTTCCTTTTGGATAAGTGGTCGCCCCTAATCACTGGAGCGTTAGGGTTGTAACTGCCTGTTAAACGAATACCTTTTGGAAAGCCGGCGCTTTCTGGCCTCGAAAAAGCTATTAGCAGCATTGATTTACTGCTACTCTAAACAGTTCTACGCCAAATCTCCGCAAAGTGCTCTGTTTAAGAGTCTTCGACCGGCTTGATTTCAAATCTTATATAGTCATAGTATAATTGTACACTTTGCTAAATTTATATTCTCTTAAACTATTTATATTGTGAGATACCACTGACAAATCCATAGCTAAAATCATCGAGGTTTGGTGGAACACGGGGATTTAACGGCAACTTCTGACGTAGAACTGCAATATTTAGTCACCAACCAGCTCGCTTTCCTTGTTCTTGTGACAGGAGACAACTGTTTACCGCAACCATTTGTTTCAGGGGAAGATACAAAGACAGCTTTCGTTCTAGTTGTGCGTTTTCTTGCGAATTTGGTTGACGACACGATAAATCCCTTGCTGTTCATGGTTTACTATGGACATCCCTCCAGAATGTCTTCCCACTACCGGCGAAACAGAACTTACAGGAGCTCCTCACGTCCAAAGATGTTTCTGCACAAAATGTGCTAGCTACACACCTGAGATCGATCCAAAAGATGCGAAAGCCAGTCGTCCTCCAATTGCCATCGTGGGAATGGGAATGAGATTACCAGGCGGAGTTCGTTCGGCGAAGGATTTCTGGGACATGCTCATCGAGAAGAAAACAGGCCACGGCGAAACTCTGTGATCCTAAGAATCCACGACAAATTCGCACCCGACATGGCTACTATCTTCAGGAGGACCCCGCCTACTTTGATGCGGAATTTTTCTCGATGGGCTCCGTTGAGGCATCAAGGGCGGATCTGCAACAACGTCTCTTACTCGAAGTCGTTTGGGAGTGTCTAGAGAATGCGGGAGAAACAGACTGGCGTGGTAAAAATATAGGCTGCTACGTCGGTACTTTTGGAGAGGACTGGCTTTCCCTTTCCACGAAGGAATACCAGCATATCGATCGCTATTATGCGCTGGGTACGGGTGGATTTGCTTTATCGAACCGTATCTCGTACGTATATGACTTTAAGGGGCCTAGGTATGTGTGGATAATGATATCCTCTCTCGGCGTATTGGCTCCTGATATCAGAAATAGCATGACGATCCAAACCGGTTGCTCTGCCTCCCTTGTCGGGTTACATGAAGCTTGCCAAGCTCTCTATCTTGGGGAATGTAGTTCCGCAGTTGTAGCGGGGACAAATCTCATTTTAACCCCAAATATGACCAAGACCATGTCGGCGAATATGGTCATATCGGAAAGTGGTATGTGCCGAAGCTTCGACCAATGTGCGGATGGATACGGCCGTGGAGAAGCAATTAATGCAATCTATATCAAACGGTTGGATGATGCTATTCACAATAACGATCCTATCCGTGGAGTCATTCGGGGCTCTGCGTTGAACAGTGACAGGTGGAAGTCAACGCTTACTGCTCCAGATTTACTCTCCCAAGAGAATCTGATTCGTACGGCATATAGCAATGCCAACATTAGCGATATATCCAAAACGCCGTATTTTGAATGCCACGGGACTGGGACAGCCGTGGGTGACTCTGTGGAGTCATCTGCTATCGCCCTTGTGACGAAGGGGAGCTCCGTATATATTGGTTCTGTATGCTTCCATTCTTATTATAGTTAGACACCTACATGACCAGATGCCTAGCTGATACCAATAGACCAAAACCCAACGTTGGCCATTCAGAGGGTGCATCAGGTATCACCGGTGTCATCAAGGCGGTATTAAGCCTTGAGAGTGGAGTTATCCCACCCGTTGCTCTATTTGAGACTCCCAGGCAGGGTGGCCCGTTGACAGAAGGACAACTGACCGTCCCTACCGATGCGAAGCCATGGCCAGCCGACCGACTTTGGAGGGCCAGTGTTAATGGATTCGGTATTGGCGGATCCAACGCACATATCATAGTAGATCGTGGCAATGGCATTACTGGGTCAACCAACTCCAACCTCAATGTAGACTCTCAGTTAATCGTGACTTCCGCAAGCAGTGTATCAAGCCTCAAGAAGCGAATCCGGCAGATTACACAATACATTAACCATTGCCCTTCATCTCTGAGTGATATGTCGTATACGTTAGGTAGTCGACGACATCATTTGGATGTTCGTGCCTTTGCGGTTGTACACCCTAGCACGCCACTCGAGGACACAGCCTTTCAGTTCACCGAAGCAGCAAGTCACACTGAGCTCATATTCACTTTCACTGGTCAAGGCGCACAATGGCCAGGGATGGGAGCAGCCCTCCTGGAACACTTTGAGAGTTTTAAAGACGATGTTGAGGAGATGGAACTAGCGCTGAAGGGACTGGATGACCCTCCTCAGTGGTCATTGAAAGGTACCAAAATTGGCGTGATTCAGGGGTTCAATCTGTTTTATGTTCACGGAGAAGCTAACAACAGCTCACAGACGAATTGAATAAAAGCATAAACAGATCTCGAGTCATGGAACCCGAGTTCTCTCAGCCCTTGTGCATCGCCATACAGATCGGTTTGGTTAATATCTTCGCTCAATGGGGTATCAAGCCAACAGCTGTACTTGGTCATTCCAGTGGTGAGATGGCTGCCGCATATGCAGCACAGGCTATTTCTGCTACTGATGCTATTGTGATTGCATACTATCGTGGTAAGTTTGCGAAGTCGAAGGAAGGGCTAGGAGGGATGGTAGCCATCAATACAAGTCGAGATATGGTGCATCCCTTCCTACGTGAAGGCGTAGTTATTGGCTGTGAGAACAGCCCTCGGAGCGTGACTTTATCAGGTGATAAAGACCAGATCGATCAAACAGTGGAAGATATAGAGCAGAGCATGCCTGGGATTTGTCGTCATCTGAGGGTAAATGTGGCCTATCATTCACGTGAGTAATGCACACAATTTATCTTTTAATTTCTGGTACGCACTGCAATATATTAACAGTTATTGCAGACCATATGAAGGATATCGGACCTGCCTATGAAACAGCCATACTGAAACATACCGGACGGGGTGAACAAATGCTTCCCATGCACTCCAGTGTGACAGGCAAGAGTATTTTGTGTCCTCAAGAATTAGATGCTGGCTACTGGCGCCGGAACCTCGAATCATCCGTCCTGTTCTCAGATGCAGTACACTGTTGCCTTGAGTCGAACTCCAGTAAGCGCTTAGCATTTGTTGAGATAGGCCCACACTCCGCGTTAGCTGCACCCCTACAGCAAATATTTAAGGTTTCAGGTGGGCAAGGACGTTGCGCATATATCTCTACGATCACGCGCTTTGATAATGACTTCAGAACGCAGCTTTTAGCGTCAGTGGGTCATATACATATCAATGGCGGTTCTGTCAACCTGCCAAGCATCGTTTCTCCAGGCAAGACATTAACCGACCTTCCGCCATATCCATGGCAGCATGGTCAGAGATTCTGGGAAGAGAGTCGCACAGCTCGGGACTGGAGGCTACAGTTGGCCCCTCATCATCAACTTCTTGGCTCTCGCGTAACCGATACAACAGACACTGCTCCTTCTTGGAAAAACATGCTTAGCGTGGAAGATGTCCCTTGGCTTTCGGACCACGTGGTGCAAGAAGAGATCATATACCCGGGCGCCGCTTATATTGCGATGGCTGGGAGCGCTGTTCTGCAGCTACATCCAGAGTTTGTCAGCTACACAATTCGGGACCTTCTCATTATCGAACCCTTATTGGTGAACGAAAGAGGTCCGACAGAAATTATCACCAGTTTCCAACCAGTAGAAATTGCTGACAACGTCTATTCGGACTTCTACAACTTTTCTATCGTGAGCTATCAAGGATCATCCTGGGTAAAGCATTGCGGGGGGCGTGTGCGTCCAGGCTACGAAATACCTCCTAGGAAACGGCCTGTCGGACCTTACGACTTGTCGTGCACTCCCAATGAATGGTACGAAGCGACTGAAGCTTGCGGTATCACCTATGGAAAAAGTTTCCGAGGGCTGGAGAATATCACAGTTGACCCCAAGGGAGGTGGACGGGCCAGTGCTGTTGTTCACAATTCATCAGACCTGGACTATCATACGTACAGTATGCATCCGGCTTCTATCGACCAGGCCTTCCAGGCAATAATGGTAGGCATCCTCTTCAATGCACTCGACGGCACTGAATACTCATTCGTTCCTGTCAGTGTCGACAGAATATACATCACACAAGGTGGGCCTTTGATGACAGTTGGTACAAGCGTAAAGAGCCATACTCAGAGTAGTTACTACGGAAATCCCATTGGTCTTGTCGATGATCACGTTGTCCTAGAAATTGAAGGTGCCGTATTTGGTGCACTCGACAATGGGAATAGGCTCACTTCTGCAAATACTAACTTGCTGACGCGAACTGAATGGAGGCCAGATTTTGACCTACTACCAAAAGACAGTACTCTCACTCTTCAACCCTTTCCTGCAAACGTGGAATTGATTGCTCAGGCGCTGGGGCACTTGTCCTTGTTAGCCCATGTGGAAACCGCTAAACGTCTGGAAGCTGCAGTCACTGAGGTTGTACATCTGAATAAATGGAAAGCCCAGATTAATGAAGAGGTCTCGTCACTCCATCAAAGACAAAGGGGCCTGTTTACTATGCTTGAGGGAAATGGAGTTCACACCAAACACGTACTTAACATGACAAGCGAGCAACGACAAGTGACTAAAGATCACTGGATAGGCGTACTAAAGGACAGTGGTTCCACTTCTATGTTGACGGTGTTTGATTGCATGGACACGGTTTTGGAAAAGTCTTTGGAGCTAATGTGTGGAGAAGTATCACCATTAGAATTTCTGATGAATGATAATCTTTTCGAGAAGATGTATGAGCAATCAATTGGATGGGTGGACTGCAGTGCTTTCTTCGTCCATTTGTCCCATTCTAACCCAAACCTTCGCATCTTAGAGATTGGAGCAGGAACAGGCAGCTGCACAAAAGTCGTCCTGCGTCATCTGAAAACCCAAGCAGGGATACGTCGCTATAAATCATATACATTTACCGATATATCACCAACATTCACCCAGGCTGCTATGGAGAAATTTAGAGAACAAGAAAACTTCGAGTACCGCATTCTTGACATCAGTGAGGAACCAATAAAGCAAGGATTTGAGCCTGATTCATACGATCTTATTATTGCTTCGAACGTAGGGATTCCCCTTGCACTCGCTGAAAGGGAGGCCTAGGTGACTGAAACGTGATTGTGCGCCAGGTTCTCCATGCAACTCCATCAATCCGAAAGACCCTACAGAATGTTAGGACATTGCTATCCGCGCGAGGCCAGTTGTTTCTTGTGGAACTTGATCCAGGTAAGACGGAGGTTAGCACACTCACACTCGCAGATCGTGACTAAACGATGGCTAGCCGTACCCAATATAGATATGGTTATAGTATGCATGGACCAGCTCTTTTCGTCCATCTTTTATTTCTAACGTACTTAGGGAATTTTACCTGGTTGGTGGGTTGGTGAAAGTGATGGTAGACCGTTGAGGCCGTATATTTCCGTTGAGCGGTGGGACAGCGAGCTGAAAGCCACTGGCTTCAGTGGTGTAGATGTCGCCCACCACGATCGCCCCGGCTTACTTCGAACCAACGCTATCATGATTTCCACAGCTCTCAAAGAGGAATCATACTTCCCAGCAGATGATGTGACTCTCCTCCTCGCACATGAGCCAGGTCACTGGGAAAAAGACGTGCAGAGACAACTTACCCAAAGGGGTCATCTTACAGAATGGGCGAAAATTAGCGACCCAGTTCCACAGAAGCCAATGATTCTCTCGTTCCTGGATATGAACAGTTCTTTCCTTCATGATATGTCCGAGGGAATGTTCATCAAGCTCAAAGAATTTCTAAAAGGCTGCTCAGCTATTACTTCATCCCAGTGCATCTGGATTACGCCAGCCACTCGGCTGCAATGTACTGATCCTTCTTATGGTCTGATCTGGGGATTCGCCCGCACTTTGCAGCGGGAGATGGAGCTGGATCTTTCTATAGTCGAAGTCGACAGGTTCGATGAGGTATCTGCAAATCTTGTCATCGAGATCATGCACAAAGTTCGGCGTCAAAGGATGGTGAAACGCACCTCGTTGGACTGTGAGTTTTCCATTTACAATCACACAGTCCATACGCCGAGATGTACTTGGGAATCGTTGCCTCGATTTATCTCCAAACCAATTCAGCAACACTCAAGCTTCAGATTAGACGTTTCATCCAACAGAAAACTCCAATGGGTTGCGGCAGATATAGAACCTTAGGGGGAGGATGAGGTCGAAGTTGAACTACTCTTCATTGGATTGAACTTCAAGGTCAGTATTACATGGTCATTAGGATATGGCACGGACACTGACTTTTGTGGTATCATAAAAGGACCTGATGGTGGCCCAGGGCCTTCTTGGATCTGAAGAGGAGCTAGGCTTGGAGGGAAGCGGTGTTGTACGCCGAGTCGGGTCGAATGTTGTTGATTTAAAAGTTGATGACAAAGTCCTGGCAATAGGATTTGGGCTTTTTCGAACCTTAGCTACTATCCCTGCTGAGCAATGCCTGAGAATACCTGATGGTATCTCATTAGAAAAGGCATCAACCATGCCAGCTGCATATGTGTCCGTTATTTATTCTCTTCTACACCGCGCTGTGCTTGATCGAGGTGATGTAAGCAGAATTACGAGTCGATCTCTTTTTTTTACAGGTCCTGACAGAGAAACAGTCTATCCTCATTCACTCTGCTTGTGGCGGGGTGGGAATAGCCGCAATACACCTGAGCCAGAGCATCGGGGCTAAGGTAAGAACCCCATGGACGGCCGGTAGCGAGTTTCTGACGACCAGCATTTAGATCTATGCGACAGTCAGCACGGAAGAAAAAGCTCAGTACTTGTTGGAGACTTTTGGGATTCCAAGAAATAACATCTTTGACTCCAGGTCATCCTCATTCTACGCAGACCTGATGCGTGAGACGAACGGTAGAGGGGTTGATGTAGTCCTCAATTCTCTTGCCGGTAAACTGCTTCATGTTTCCTGGGATTGTGTTGCTGAGTTTGGCCAAATGGTTGAGCTAGGAAAACGGGATATTCTGACACATGGGACGCTCTCCATGTCTCCATTTTCCGAAAATCGCTCCTTCATCGCGATTGACCTTATGGGAGTGTTGAGAAGAAAGCGAGCATTGGCCACAAGGTCTGTAGCTGACAGCTATCACATTACTAGCCACAACATGAACTAATTATATGATACAGGCTTGGACATCAGTTCATTGAGCTCTATAAAGAAGGCAAAATCGGACCAATTCTCCCAGTGAGAACTTTTCACGCCCAGGAGGTCCAAGAGGCCTTTCGATACCTGCAAGGTGGCCTTCACAAGGGGAAGATCATTATCCGTATGCCCGAGTCGCCATCTGAACTTCATGCAATGTCAACTCAGTGCAGTATTACCTTCCCTTCTGATACTTCCTACCTTCTAGTTGGAGGACTTGGCGATGTTGGTCGTGTTCTTGCGCGGTGGATGGTAAGACGAGGCGCTCGAGAGCTTGTGATCATGTCGCGGTCCACTAGGCGCGTAGAAAGGGAGCAATCATTCATCAAGGAGCTCGAGGCACAGAACTGTCAAATCATCACCGTCGCCGGAGATGTGACTAATTTAGAGGATGTGAAGGCAGCTGTGTCTAGCTGCACCAAGCCTCTTGCTGGCGTGCTCTCTCCCTACAGGTACGCTACTGGACATTTCATTGTTTCTCATCACTAACAAGGTTCCTGTTCCAGGATCGTACATTACTACACATGACCCATGCTGAATGGAAGTCGGCACTCGCACCAAAAGTATCCGGGACATGGAATCTCCATCGGGCCGTAGAAGGCCAGCGACTGGACTTCTTTCTTGTTTTGAGTTCCTTGGTCGGTATCACGGGTCACGCTGGTCAGGCTAACTATAGTGCTGCCTGCACGTATCTAGATGCTTTTACCCAATACCGTCGGCAAATGGGCCTTCCCTCTTCGGTGGTCGACCTTGGCCCCGTTGCAGGTTCAGCAGCAATCGAAGACCAAGCTGTTTCTCGTCAACTAGACACGGCGGGATGGACTCGATTAAGCAAACAGCAACTCATCGCCAGCGTGCAGCTCGCCATTTCTGAGTCCCGGGCACCGAATACAGCCGCGCACCTTTATTCAAGTGAGCTGATAATAGGGTTCTTCCGGAGTCTTAGTGAGACGGAGTATACAAAGATGCTGGAAGATGATTTATACGGCCGGGATGCGAGGCTTTCAATGTATCAGAACTTGGTCGCTCGTGCAGACAACCGGAAGCCTGACAACCAGATTAAGCTGCTCTTTGAGAGGGTCGAGAAAGATCCTCGCCTTTTTAGCGACCCGGGAACGCATACCATACTGGTCTTAGAACTGGCAAAATTAATCAATCATCGTACTAGTCAGTTATCAGAAATGGACCTGGGACAAGCACAGGCCGTGGCTGTTGATTCATTAATGGCCATTGAGGTGAAGTCCTGGCTAAGTCGGCAACTTGGACTACATGTCACCGTGGACGAGATAACGAAAGCGAACACGGTGGGATCTTTGGTGCAAATTATTGTTCAACGTGCGAAGGCAAAGTACAGGACTAGTGAGGATGGTACTGCTTCTACCAAAGAGAGCTGATCGATATTCCATCCATACGAATCTTTGTTTGTTATATGTTGCTGTCTCTGTGCCTTTGTGATTTCGAAGAATAGTCGCCTAACAATTCAAGCAAAAGGCACGACCATTGACTATATGAAGTATAGTCGATCAGTTAGGTGATATATGTCTGGATACCACTCTGCCTTCAAGCCCAAGTTGATATCAATATTTCATGATTCATTTAGGGCCGTTTATCTCCCATTTTCAAGGAGATTAATTCTTTTTCTCTTGTTCCCTTACATTTTCTTAATATTTAACTACTCTCCACTTAGTGCCCAAGTTCAATTAAATTAAATGTATTCATTTCATCCCTCCAGCCAGTACAAACAGATATAGCCCGTGATCTCCCCGCGCGGAAACAACCCTTTAAATCAGAAATTTATAAATTCAAGGTAAAAAACAACATTTCGTATTT